CCACGTGTCCATATTTATTATAAAATTCACATCCCACTCCTCATACAATTGAAATACCTACTCACTCATCATACAATTGAAATATTCTTGGTCCTCATAGTCCGATACAATGGAATACAAGGACAACTCCATCATTGGCGGAGGCGGTTCCACCGGATCACGACGTGGGGGAGTATTTTCCTTCGGGGGACGTAATAGTGCCATTATTTCTGACACGGAACGCATCACTGGAATTGACTGCGGGCATTGTTCACTTGAGGAGCCATGTGTAATGGTTTTCCTCTTCTTTGTTTTGCCTTGACTAATCTATTAAAAAAAAGAAATTGGAAATGCAAGAAATATATATATAAAGACATTGAATTGAATAAAACAGATTTTTTTTTTTTTTACCTCGTTGCCAAGATTTTGACCTATTCGAACATTTTTCCACGACCCTCCGGCTTCGATGGAAGATGACATTTGTATTTTTGCACAAATGAAATTTTGTAGTAGAAATTTGGTGAGGAAAGTGAAAACTATTGGAAGGAGATGAGTTTTTATGAAGATTTGGTGTAGAAAGTGAATAAAATGGTTAGGTATTTATAGGGAAAAAATACATAATTTTTTGGTATTTTTTTAAAAAAAATTCAGAATTTTTTCGAATTTTTTTAGCCAAAAAAACAAGGACCGTCAGATTTCTGGAAAAAAAGATCGAAGCGTCGCTGTCGCGACATGTCAGCATGACGTCAGCTCGCGGAAATCAAATTTTTTTTTACCGTTGGCGCGTGTTCACGCGCCAATAGTAAAAAAAATCTGCTTTATTGTGCGCTGACGTCAGCGTGATGCCAGCGCTGACGTCACAAAACTCGGGCTTCAGCCCAGGCAGAAGTTGCCTTTGGGCTTGCCTGGGCTGGTGGGACCCACCACGAAACCGGGCTGCTTCTCTTGCGCTGGAGCCATCTCGGGCGCTGGACCCACCACGAAACCGGGCTGCTTCCCCCAGTTTGGGTCCTGCGCTGGACCTGCTCTAATGAGTTGAGTTTTGCCCATCCATTTGCGCCGCAGGTCTACCAACCTGTTCAAAACATAGCACAATTGGTTGGTTATGCAAGGCAGTAGCGGCAAACAAAATGGAAAAAGAAGTAGCAAAACAATTTAGCACCACACAATTTAGTTTTGGGAGAGTACTTAAAAATAACAGCACTCAAATCATGCACAATATTAAATTAATACTAAGTTACTAACATCAGTTTGCAAGTTTTAAGATATGACGCAAGTGAAGTGATGATATTGGAAACGGGGAAGGGGTTTATTGCCAAAAAAAGGAGGAGGAACAAGGAGGCACAAACAAAGCCCAACTAGTTACGTGACAGAAGTTAAAAGCTAGGGAAGATCTAGAGTGATCTCAGACATCTGACCAGAACGAGCAGAAGAATTCTAACAACACCAGATTTTAACAAAGTATTTTGGATCAACTTCCCCACACAGCAGACTAGTAAGCAACCATGAGATCCGCCTGCCTATCACTACAACAAAGTGGCTTAGCATGCAGTTTGAAAACGCAAACTAAACTTTACCCAAAAGAAAAAGAAAACAGATAACACTGAGAAAAATAAACGAGGAACAAAGCTTGAAACCTTAATTAAAGAGAAAGCAAGCAGTGGCGGAGCTGATCTTCTACACTAGGATCGAGTGGCGGCCTATATATACTGGGAAGGGAAGGAGAGAAGGTTCCTTTTAATGAAAATTATAAGAAGACGAACTCTTGTATATATAGATAGACACCAAGGAAAATAAAAAAGAAGCTAAATTTTGCTTGGTGTCTATATATACAAGATCTGAAATTTTTGGGCTCATCTTCTCATCCAACAGAATATTACTTACCTTAAAACAGGAATCATGGTGGAGATAAACAAGTCCTCTAGCAATATACCTTGAATAATAATGAAGCGTTTAGCCCAATCAAACACTGCTCTTCTCATTGGATCTAATCAATACACCCATTGCCATTAGAAATGAAATCAATAGTCTCCCTGAGTTCGGCAAACTAGGATAGGAAGAACTCAGACATTATCAATGATACTGAAGAAAGATTAGGTGACAATGACAAATTGCAGCTAAACATAAAGGGCCAGTGGAACTAACCCAATAATATCATATCCAAGCTTTTGTTGAGCTTTACAAGATTCTTGTGCTGGAGTTTGGAGATCAACAGAATCTCATTTTTCAACTCTTCGATGCCTTGCCCTGAGCTACTAGATAGTCATTTTCGGAAAATCGGCCTGGGCGGTGGGCGCCCAGGAGCTAGGCGGGCGCCTAGGCGGGACTTTTATTTTTATTTTTTATTTTTATAGATATTGTTTTTCATGGACTTAGATTTCAACTACCAAACACTCGGTGATGGTGGTGACCAAGGACGAGTACGAAAAATGCCATTCTGCGCATCCCATCTTCTTCTCCAACAATGGTGCGACCGTGTTCACATTGGACCGGCCTGGTTTGTTCTATTTCATTAGTGGGGTTTCCGGGCACTGCGAGAGAGGCCAGAAGATGATCATCAAGGTCTTGGAACCAGCAAGCCCACCTCAATCCGCTGACCAGAACGAGCAGAAGAATGATGCTGCAGTTGCAATGGCCGCCATCACTTCTGCAACTATCATGTCCTGCATTATGTCATTTGTGGGGGTCCTTTTCTTCTAATTGCAGTGATCAGCGATGGTTACTATATTTTTCTTGTGGTTTGTTTCAGCACGGATACTCCGATTTAGATCCGAATCCCGTGTCGGATATGCTATGATACGAGTCGTCAACGGATACAGACTTTGATGCACGGACAACTGTATCCGACATTCCGGACAGGAGTCGGATACTCGTTTTAGAGGTTTTGAGAGGGAAAATAAAGAGGAGATAAGCTTTAATTGTTGCTGGTTGAAAAATTCGAAAAGTTTGCCAGCCGTAGGTCTACTTTGCACGATCATACTCCAAACACTTCTTCTACTACTGTATCTCTATCTTAGTTTTTTGTTATAAATGGTTTGATAACTATATATTAAATGATTAATATATATTTTTAATTGCCATATCATATCATAGTTTTTAGAGATTTTTCGTATTACCGTATTCGTATCCGCTTTATGGGTGAGTTGAAATTAAAAGAGTGTAGGACTGGAACTTATTGAGATTATGAAAATAAATTTGTTTCAAGTATGATATTTCTCTATTGAATTATTATTATTTTATCATTTTTTTGGGTATAGATTTGTTTTAACTCTTGAACATATTATTTGCATCCATCTTAGTACAAACCATAAATGAGATAACTCTCGGAAGCTAGGGTTATTGGTTCGAGACTTGGATTTAGGGTTTGGAATACTAAAATAATTTTCTATCATTTTTAAATAGTTGAAACCATATTTTGAAACCACTAGCCAGAACTCTGTCCCTCTTCCTATTTTCACCGGAGAAAACTATGACTTCTAAAGTATTAAAATGAAGACCTATCTTATGTCTCAATTTTTATGGGACACAATTGATGGTGGCTTCAATAATCTAGAAAATCCAACTGTGGAACAGTTGAGGCAACTAAAGAAGGATCAACAAAAGGATGCAAAGGCCTTATTTGTAGGTAAGATTCCAGTTCTCACCATGTTCGATCGGAATACGCTTTAGTGTACCATCTAAAGAGATATCCATATATCAGAGTTTGTCAAATACATAATAAGAGATACCCGAAATACATGGTCAAGGGTAATAACTCTGGAAAAATAAAACTCTAAATGGGACAATAGATACTCGGGTAATAGCATAATAGTAATGGATAATGCTCTAAACTACATTTGTCAATAGACAAAAATCGGGGAAAAATACTTATAAAAAAAAAGAGAAAAAAGAATTAAAAAAAGGACCCCAGTAAAGTCACGCGGCTATACTTTTTTTATATAAAAAATAATTCGGAGTATTGGGGCACCCGCCTAGAAGGAATAAGGTACCGAGCTAGTATAATAGCTCCACTGCACTAGATGGTTGGACCTGTTAAGTAACTGTGTTCAATTTTGTTATCATATCTGTTTAGTCTATTCTTGTATATTCCTATTGCTTGTATGTCATGTTATATACTTCAGGAATGGAGAGCACACGTTGCCTAGCTCATTTGTCTATCTGCTTATGCCACACAGTATCATATGCTACAGAAACAGCAAATCTACGTGAATCAAGCAACAACTTGCAGAAGTAATAACCCCTAGCCAACATGAACCACAAAAGGATACTGTAATGTTTCATTCAACAACAAAGAATCATACGTCGTATTTGTTTCAAGAATCAAACTAAAACCCCAAAAGTGTGTACTTTGGAACCAGAATATAAGACAAACCCAAATCAGCAGGATGGAAGATCATCTCCGGCACAAGGAACCTTTCATTTGTCAAGTCAAACTCCTGCCCAAAAACAACAAACACCACTCAGAAGTAGAAACAAACACAACCAGTTAATGGTCAACACTGAACAGTGGCAGTCGTGTAAATTGAGTAACAACTAATGACCAAAGTGTACTTCCACTTTTATAGTGGTCATTTTAATAAGCCAACAAAAAAAACTAAAAAATAATAATACGAGAATGAAACAGTCAGTAAGCCAGATGGCGTTGCAGAGTGAAGACAAAGTGATAGCAAAAACCAATGAACGTCAGCGAAAAAAAAAAAATTATTGAATGCTTGTCCCGATCGATAATGGCGGTCTCTGAGCAGTGTGACAGTAATTTTTTTTTATGAATATTTTAATCAATAATTGGATGAGACTGAAGAGTGATGAAACGCTCTTCATTCCTTAAACAGACTTTCAAGGGAACAATTGGAAAGCCGTGTTCGTTACTTCCCAAAAAAAGAAAAGCCGTGTTATTTGCAAAAGGTTTCTTATTTCCTTTTTTGGGTCATACTCATACATACTGTTCTTTGCAAAAAGCTTGAACTGCTCAGTTTTGGGTTTTTCTGTTTGGCTTCAAAGGAAATTCAGCCTCAAGTTTTGTAGTTTCCAGTACTCAGGTCAGTCGTGATCTTTCATTTCTCGGGAACCAAACAAGAATATATAGCATTTCTTGTTGCTAATGCCTCCAGAATGCTAGTGTTTCTCAGTCACTCTGGTAAGGCTTTGATTCATAAACTAGACTAGAATGCCTGCCAATGTAACTGAAATTGCTAGGCGGGTCTAGGCGGCATTAGGCGAGTCTGGGTGCCAGGGTGGGTCTGGTTCTTTAGGGTTTAGGGTCTGGTTATTTTCTTTTGTTCTTTAAGCCTACTGCCTAGCGATTTTTCAAACTTATGCACTGGGCGCTGGGCGGTCGGGTTCTTTTCTTTTTTTCTTTTAAAGGGTAATACCGTTCTGTGCTATTAGCTTCCTGCAATATCAATCTTTGAAGACTTGAGTATGCTTTAAACAACTGAGATCAGGCAATTAATCTAGTTTTCATGAGAAAACATCATGAGCCCATCTAAGTGAACTGAATGATTAATTATAATATTTAATCTTTTTCACCTCCTTCCCTTTCTAATTACAAGTGTTTATCAGAAGTATGACTTACTGTAACTGTTTTGCATTTCTCAAATCTCAATCTAGTCATCTCCATTGTTAGATTGGTGATGTTGCTTGCTTCATCTTGATGTAGGTTGACACTACCATTACACGGTTTACAATTTGCTTGGAGATTGGCAATTTCTTGTTGGAGAAGTTCTGTCGTGTACGTTAGATGTGCTCATCTTCGAATTTGTAGGTAAAAGAAGTATATTTCAATTTTGCAAACTGATGGATTCGTATTCCATAGAGTCTATGAATAGTTTCTTTTAGTTTTAGTTCAGATTGGATTCTGTTTTACTTAATGCAAATAATTCATTGCTTTTAATTACTACTCATTGTTTCATTCTTTTAGGTTCTCATGGTTGAGCTTCATTTTTGCATTTGTCAGCCTGGCATCTCGAGTACAGAAAACATTGCAAGGTTCATCTAACGATATTGGATGGTTGCCGCGCGCTCCTGGCATGCCTGGTGTGGAGGATGGTACAGCAAGATTCTTGGAATTGCTTGCAGGAATAAGGTACCAGGCTAATATAAATATAATAGCTCCACTGCACTAGATGATTGGACCTGTTAAGGAACTGTGTTCAATTTTGTTATCATATCTGTTTAATCTATTCTTGTATATTCCTATTGGTTGTATGTCATGCTGTATACTTCAGGAATGGGGAGCACACATTGCCTAGCTCTTTTGTCTATCTGCTTATTCCGGGTAAAGAAAATTTATTTATCTCTTTGGACTTTGTTCTTCTCCCCTGTTCAATTGACATTTAGCATTGTGGCACCTATAGTTATGGGAACTTTGATTTTCCAGGCCTCTATGGCAATCACGGCCCCATATACTTTGTTGGAACAAAGAAATTCTTTTCGAAGATAGGTCTAGCTCGTCATATTACAAAAATTCACAGTGAGGTAATGAGTCATTACTCTGTGATCATTGCTGACTGAGTTTTGTGAAATTTGTCTTCCCTTTTCATATGTTTTCTTGTATGAAGGCATCTATTGAGCACAATGCATGGGAACTCAAGCAATACGTTGAGGAGCTTTACTGGGGATCTGGTAAGAGTATGATGCTGCTGGGCAAAGCAAGGAAGGTGAGAAGCCTGTATTCCAACAAAGTATAATGCCGACAAAGCTTATGCATGATACATTCATGGCTTTTTTCTTTCCTTCTTTATTTTAGCTCGCGCCTCTTGTTCCATTACACATGGATTGAGTTTGGGGCAAAATCTTTATGAAATACAGTTACCTAACAATCACGTTTATTCTACAATACCAAAAAGGAGGAATATTTTATGTCATATTAACCTTTTTCTCGTGAACTTAAGCAGAAGAAAAATCCTTTTCTCATGAAACTAAAATGTACATAAATGTTGGATGAAAAACCGTATCATGTCTAGTTCCCAACTATCTGTTTAAATTCGTTTTCACAATATAAATGTTACTGCATCTGTCTCCTGAGAATGCAATGCATTTTCACAACACCCAATGCTACTTCAACTTTTACATTCTATAAAAATTTTGTATTGTACATAAACATGAAAATATTGGAGGAAACTAAAACATCATTCCTCACAATGTGGATGACTATATATGTAAATCAATGAAAATTAATTTTCCTTTTGGAAGGAAAATTATTAGTTTTTCAGTCAAAAAACAAACAATAGTAATATCTTCGTGTTTGATGATTCAGTGCATGCTGTGGAGAGAGAGAAAGAAGTTACAATTTCCATTTTAAAATCTTTGTATTTCATGGACCAATAATGATAAATTTTTTTGTATTTTTTGTTGAGAATTATCTACTAAGTAATGGAAACTAACCCACTTTTGTTCCAGTTGATTATAACTTTCAAAAAGAACAAATTTCTTAAAATTTTAATACATAAGAAAATCCATTGCATGTGAATGAAACATTGGCTTAAGTTCGTGTCTACATTAACTTAAGGAGAAAAGATATTGATGCAAAAAGCAGATTTCGTATTAACACCTGAAATTAACTAAAGAGTAGAGAAAATAAATGAGTAATCGTGTTTGTTAACAACTTTTGAAGAAAAAAGGGATTAAACAGTCTAGAGACAAACCAACCAAAGCAACTAAAATCTTTTGCTGAATTCCTCATTGTCTGATCTCTACTT